TCCATATTTTTTTTCTTTTCATTCTTTGAAATAAATTATTTGTAATCTTGACTTCAATCGTGTAATGAAATCGACAATCGAGTTCTATTATTTTACAAAAAAAACAAATTGATCTTATGAAAGACATCCTATGAGTTCACCGCTAATATATAAAAAATACTTACATAATATCCTATACTCATCTCTTCATTTTCGTTCTAGTTGAATGATAGATGTAGAAAGAACATTTTAAATAAACATATTTATTTTTAATGAATTTTACTCAGTGCATTATGTTAATAATATTGTAAGTATATTTTTGATACAATCTAACGAAATATCTCTCACGTAAGAATATTGTATCATTCATTTATGGAATCGTTTCTTTAGATAAATAGTTTATGGGTTAAGACACAAAAATAAAATAAATAGATAATAAATAAGATAGTTTGTTCATGAGTAGATCTCATTGAGACTAAGAAAGCGTCAGAATCAAGAGTTAAGATCATTTTACTGAATTTTCGCATTAGTAACTATCAGAAAGTGAAATTACGAGATTTGGATCTGAAGTTTTGCATAAATAGAAGTCTAATGGTTCTTGAGTTACTCCAAAACTGTTAGCCTTAAGAAAAGTTCTTTTACTGAAGTATTACATTTTCCAAAAACCGATCGATTATCATTATATTTATGCCAGAAATCGAGTGTACTATTTCAGATCGAAAATCAAGTAAAGTAATCATAACTTTTGGTTAATAGGCTGTGGACCCGAATCCTTTTCAGATGTTCTTGAGAGTTAATGTTGTTCGTATTGCTTCAGTATTAGTTTCTATCTAGATTTCCACTATGATTCGTTTCTGAGAGCAACAAATGAAGCGCCATTAGCGTTTGTATTCTATCAAATAAATAAAAGTTTTACAAAACAATTGATTATAAATGTCTAGACGCATTTTTCTGGTGTTATCACATATAAAACTATTTGCCGAACGTAGGTCTACTAAAAAGATAACTTATGAAGAATTATCTTACATTTAATTTTGATATTTGGTATTATATTTCATTGAGAAAGATATTATAGAGAATACGAATATGTTGATGTTGAATGGTGACTCAGAATCAAACTCAACTATCTGAGATGATTGCACTGACGAGAAAAAAATTTCCAAGTCGTATTACTTTAGTTTCCTTACACATTTTATTAGCATTGTTGAAAAGAAACATACAAGATATGGCAGTTGATGGGATCAAGCCTAGCATAAATGTACCATTGTGAAGAAAATATCTATCGAGAATGCTACTACTTGACGTACCCTTTGATGGACAATCTGAAGTTGATTTTAATGGAATTTTTGCTTTTGATAATTCTACAGTTTGGTTCATCGATATCTTTAAAGGATTTGAGTAATTTGCACGAATATTTTGCAACCATTTCTTTCTCCAGAATGCATCATATCCACTATTTCCAGTTTCTCCAGAGTTTTGTACTGGAATATGTTTCCATAGATCGTAAGATACACCATAAACAATGCAATAACTATTAGAATGAACAGTTGTATTGCCAGTCAACACTTTCAATGTCTCTCCATGTATAACATTTGTTGAACGTTGATAAATTATTAAAACTGTATTAGTCTCTCTTAAATACAAGAATGTTGTTTGTGTTATTGAGATATTTGAAGTAAGATACTAAGTTTTGTTGAGATAATGTTGAAAAAAGGAAAACTACGTTATTGTATATATACATACTAGATTTCAAGGTGAATAACAATGTATGATAATACTATAAATATGATGATAAGAACGATTCAAAGTATGAATATTTGTTTTTAAATATTATTAAAATAAAGAATCTTTAATTGACTTTTTAATAATTTTTGCCTTTTCTCTAAGAATACATTAGTATATAACGATTAGTAGTTTGTTATAACCAAGTATGATACTTTACTGTCATTCTTAATCGCTTCTTCATAACAACAGGAAAGTCTTATATAACAAGAAAGAAATAGGGTATTGTGTCGAACGACGTTCGATCTAAAACAATAATAATCATATGGACATTGATAACTATGACGTTTTAAACGTTTTTCATTTGATAATTCATTACAAAAAAATGTTGAGTGGATATAAGTGTTTAGATATAAGACCCTATATCCACACCTATCCGCATCCACCTACATCTTTCTATCTGATACGCTAGCTCTGTCTTATGTCAGTATAAATTTTATCAAAGACTGCGAATATAATCAACCATTTTCTGACAAGAAAATTTCAACAGGCATTGAAGATTATTATGATGGTGTATTTATATTCGATACAGAACAGTTTTATTTTGAAATGTCAGATTTTACAAATTTCAAAAAACAAGATAATTGAACGTTTGAATTGTCAGCTTATCGAATGCCCAATATAATACATCTTTCAATAAGATTCCAGGCAAAACTGATGAGAATGTTTTTTAAATATATATTTTGTAGTAGTCATTTGAGAACTAAAAAAATTACATCAATAAAGATCGGAAGAATGATTTTGAGTTCCATAGTAAACTGACATTTCTAGGTAAAATAGTGAAAAATTGAAAGTTTTTCCGGTCCAATCAAGGGAGAATGTATATGCTTGGAATTTTCAACACTCTGAAAACATGCGTTGTAAATGTTATCTTTTCCATCAATCATCTCTTCACTACGTGTAGTTCAAGGACAAAGTTAAATGAAACATGATTGCAGTGGAATGTATGACGTTGTATTTCGTATAGGAAGCGGTTTTCTTCCTATCATTGTGTGAAATATATCGAGATGTTTTGTCATGTAAAACATATTATTTCCTTCTACGGTTCCTCTTTTGTGAAAAAAGTCATAGAGCAAACCACTAGGCATTCTGCATGTATTCTATTTGATTTCATGCGTTAGATACAGTAAAATTATTTTATGTGTAATGACGTTCGTACTATTTGTTGTCGTAGTAGAAAGAATAATTGTTTTTTTTCCCGACAGGTATATAAAGAAATGAAAAAAATGATTACTTTACCATTGAATTTCAAACATCTATTTTAATTTATTCATTCAATTATTGTGAAAATGAGTCTCTTTTGTGACGATGGTTGTTTTCCAGTGGCACATCACTATTCATCAAAACGACGATCAAGCCGAGCAGATGGATCATCATTTGAAGTAGCTTCTGTTGCAGCCAGAAGTGCTAAAGACAAATACTCCTTGAAAGTTCCAACACCTTTTGGTACTGTGAAATTCAATGAAAGTCATACACGAAATGCAGCCAAAGCTTCACGTGCAAAAGGAAGCCGATTTTCAGCTGCTTCAAATAGTATTTCTCATGGAGCCTCCTTCTTCTAATTTCAAACAATTTTCATCGAACATTATTCATATCGTTTTTTTTGTCTCTTTCTTTTAATTATTAATATATATCTCTTAGCAGTTTTTTTCCTCAGTATTGAATAATTGTCTTATGTAAGGATTTATTTGATTAAATAAATTTTCAAAAAAACGAATCATGTGAAAAATTTCACTCTCTTATTTCAAAGGAAAGCAATTGTAAAAAAATACAATATTGGTCCAGATATGCAAACAAAAAATTTGTACGATTGTTTACTCGAGCATATAAAAATTAAACTTATCTTCAACTTTCATAAAATTGCGATCCACTAAAAGCAATTCTTGTACGTCTGCACAGTTTTGTTACTACCAATAATCTATTTGAACCACAATTTCATGATAATCAACTATTGAATACATGTAATTTACTAGGGTGGGTGTGAGTGCAATAAATAAGATGTATCCACATCCACACCCTCAATCACCTAATCAATAAATTTATTATTAATCATAAATCACTTCAAATTTAGACATCTCGATTTTTTTTAAATTTCTAATTCTCAAACGCTGTTTTGATTAGTTTCTTAGAAAAATAGAAAAAAACAATACCGAACAGACAGTCATAAATTCTCGGGCATTTTCATTACTAAAATAGAAGAAAAATCTATACGACAAGTTCAGTAAGAATTAGATTTTATGATTACAATCGTCTTTTCGATTTCCATCGAAAGAGTATCATAGAAAATACAATTATCAAGTAAATTTTCTTATCTACCTATAATAACATCTGATGTAATAGTTTAGTAATCATAACATTAAAAATAAATCAGAATGAATCTTTTCTTTACCATGTAGAAAAGTATTTAATAATGGGCCGCAAAGCATTTAACAAAAATATATGTATATTGATGAATCTAAAGTAGTTGCTGATAAAATTTGCAATAAACGAAATTTTCTCAATTTTTAGTCGATTCATTATTGTATTATATTCAATATGTACAATTTCAAGAGACTATTAATGATTATTTATTATTAGTAAAAAATTTTACGACGTTTTAAAAGCACATTCTATTTATTGACTTTATACAGCTGATTTCTGAGTTTTTAATGAATGAAAAACATATTCATTTCGTTTTCCAAATCTATGTAATATTGGTCTATATAAATCATTTAATATTTATGATAAAAATCTTGTTATTCAGAAAATTATTCATATTAATGATGATTCTCCAATTACAATGTTATTTATTAATCAAAAGTAAAAAAGAATTGGTATATTTATTTTTATTTCAGATCGATCGATACGACGGTGGCAATTATGTTCGAAGATAGAGATCCACTTCGAACAAATTCAACGTCGATATAGTTGTTCTTCTATTAAGTCAGACTTTTTTTTAAATAAATTAATTCATGAAAACAAATTTGTTTTTCTTCTCCTCTTAAATATTTACGAATCTATGATATTCAATATGAAATATTCTAAAGGTGTGAATGTGTGTGATGGTATTGTTATATGAGCATTAGGATCTGAAGTAAACACAACCCCACACTCACACTCTCGAGAACAGTCTGGGACTAAGTAAATCGAGTTTGGATATTGAAGAAAAAATGAATATGTTAAGTTTTATTTTTATTTATTTAATAAGCATAAAGCGTGATTAATATGAACAAACGAAAAGCAAGAAAATCTTTGTTTATTTAAGATACACTTGTAGCCGGATTAACTCTAATCTCCACCCGACACATTGTTTTGACAATAATAATAGCAATTAATCGACAAATAATAACTAAACCACCATATAAACCAATTAATGTTAATATTCCTTCGATAGCATTCGTTTCATCAACATATGAATAAATACATAATGATGGTGAACATGCATTAAAATAATTTGGATAATTTATTTCAAATTTTAATTCTTCAATCATTAATTCGTTGACAACTGACTCAATTGTTTGACTTGATAAAAAACGACTTGTTTCTAATGATGAAATATTTATTGATTTGAAATTATTTGTTGAATCAATACATGACTGATTATAAAAACAATCTAATTTTGTTTGAAATATTGTTTCAAGTGGATAACAACCAGTTAGCATTCCACGAGATGAACTAACGCATTTAGATGATGATGAACAACTACATCCAGTATAATTTAAGGGAACCATACGAATAACTTTTAGCTCTTGGGTAAAACGTACAGTTTCAAACCCCCAATTACTTAGATATGCAGTTATAAACATATTACTACTAATTGTTTCTCGAATTAATGAAATACTATTGACAAATGATTGTGATATTGTTTGTTTAAATTCATTAATAAACATTTCAATTGTATTATTTAAGATATCTAATGATAAAAGTTGATTATTAATAAAATCCGTTGTTCCTAATTGAAAAATTGATTCAGAAACTGTTTGATTTGATAAATCACAAAATGAGAAAAGTAATTTAAATTGTCCAACCGCTGAATTATAAAAATCATATGGTGAATGTCGTTTTTTATTATTTCTTTTCTCATATAAATATAAAAACCACCGATCTTTAATAAATTCACTTGAACATATTTCATGCAAACGAGTTTTTAAAGTTAAAAATGAGTTATACTTCATTGATAATTGCGAACATGGACATTTCAATATATCATTGTATTCTTTATATAAATCTTTATAGATTTCTAATGAAGGTTTATCCGTTGGAATAGTTATTACACGAGGAGTAAAAGTTGAAAATATATAAAGTAAAATAAGAATTCCAACAACTAAAATGACATGTAATCGATGAATAATTTGATTTTGAGTATGATGAATAAAGATTTGCTTAACGAAATTGAATGAAATTAAATGAAAGAAATTATTTGAACAAATTTTATTGATCAATTCCAGACTAATCATAATTAAAAGTTTTAATGCAAGTGATAAACCACCAAAAATACTTATAATAGTTGTAATACTAATAAAAATATTATTTCGATCATTATATTGATATGTACATGATTTTGGTAAACATTTTTTATAATATAATGAGAAATTAACATTTGGTAACCATTTATCAACCATTAATCGATTAATAATCATTTCGATTCTTTCATTTGGTTGATTTAAATCTGGATCAAGAGCAGAAAAATTGAAAGGTATTGGAGAATCTAAATCTTTATCAATTGTTAACATACATGATAGATTATAAAAACATTCTAATGTTGATTCAAATAATGATTGAATTAGATAACAGTCATAAAAAATATTCAAAACTGGATGTGGGTCATAGACGTATATACCAGTTCCGCTGGTACGATACATTTTAAGAGTAGAATTACAGGATAGAGATAAAATACAATTACAGCCTTGCCGTGTTTGTAGGTTTCCATATACTCCTAAATCTTCATCTACTGAAAAAAAATTAGTAGGCACACCACTAATCAATTGATTTCGTTGATAAATTTGTTGAATTAATTGAATAGTTCTTTTAAAAGTATTTGTCGTTGATAATTTCCAATCTTCAATCGATGAAGTTAATTGATTTTCAAACGATTCTTTTGCAAGAACTTGTAAACTAATGAGTTCTGTTCTGAGAAAAATTTCAAGTGCATTATCAATGGTTTCGTTCGCTTGTTTACAAAATAGTAATAATAATTGAAAATAAGCAGGAGCAATTTTTCGATAATCAAAATGAAGCAAACCTTGTTCACCTATACTGTACCAGATGTAATCAATCCATCCTTTAGAAATGAAATTACTTCGACATAATTGATGATATTGTGGTTGAATTATTATAAAATTTGAATAAGAGATTGATATTGAACTGCATGGACATGAAAGTGATTGAGGATATTTTTTTTGAAGTTGAGAAAACTGAGATTCAGTAGGATAAGAAATCGTTTTTGATTGAATTGATTTTTGTAAAAATACATAAATAGTTATAATTATCATTGAACCAATCAGTAAAAATATATACAATCGTGTTCCATAACGTTGAAATTTTGTTTGTCGATCTGTATTAGAAGATTGTTTGAAAATGTTCAATTCAATTAATTTCTTTTGAATAGTTTCTTTAAATTGATATAAACGATTTTTGACTAAATATTACGAGAAGAAATATGATTTTATTTTATCAAAATGTACAAAATCAATTTGCTTTAACTATTGTCATAACTAAAATCAACAACTCTTTTTCCATGCTCGACTTGTGCTTATTTTCGCTCGTTCATCTTTTTCTTTTTCACTATTCTGTTCTTAATTATTAATTTGTTACTTTTTCACTTTCTCATTGATGGTAATTTCTACTTACAAGAAATTCGTGGTTTTGGTGTTCGATCTCGTCGTTGCATAATGAATCGAATAACCAGCGGAATTATCAATCCCAGTATTAATGTCAAACTAGACAAAAAACTAATCAATTTTTTTAAGACATGAACAAAATCTCGTCGAGTAATTTTCAAATAAGTACATGAAGATGGTGCACATTCTGAATAATATTTATCATAAAAAATATTCATTGTCCAATTTTCAATCATCAAATTATCAATTATCGATTGGACAGTTGATGTTGGTTGATATAAACTTTCATTATTTATAATCATCGCTTTGAATTCTTCACTTGTTGGAAAATATGTCATAAGTTTGTCTACACATGTTTGATTGTAAAAACATTCAAGTGTCGACGATAGAAGTGTAAATCCTGGGAAACAGCTTGTTGACATTCCTGGTATAGACCATGCCAAACTATTCAGAATCTCATGTGGACTTAGTTTTCCAAATGTATTGGCAATACCTGACTCTATTTGATCGCAATTTTGTAGTAAACACGTACACGCACCACCAACCGTTTGTAGGTATCCAGATTCGTATAGCATACGGCGTAATTTTAAATTTATGAGATACTCGCTAGTTTGTACTGCAGGTATTAAGTCATTGACGATTGTCATTTCTGTGATTAATTTTAGTTGAAAATTAAAAGTATTTGGCGTTTTTAGTTTGAATTGTTCAATTGTTGTATTGATGTGTGCGCGCAGAGATGTGTTTGATAAGATTTGTGGACTTAGTAATGTATTTTGATAGACGGCATAAACACTTTGATTAGTATATGATTTTGACAAACGACAATAAGCAGCAAGTGCTTGAAATTGAGTATTACCAAAACGTCGAAAGTCTCGAAAACCAAAATAAGTTGTAATTGTTTTCGAATCAATTGCATTTAGCCATCGATCAGTTATAAAATCACTTGAACAAACTTGATGAAAACTTGTTTTCAATGACACAAATTTTCCATATGGAATATAAATATGAGAACATGAACATTTTGCATTGATAGGCACACCTTCAAACTGTTCTTTTGTTGGATTTGATATAGTAACCATCGTCGATTGTTCAAGTAATAATAAAACAAGACCAATAATAAAAAGAATGAGTATGATAAGTATAATATAAATTCGTGTACTAATAATATTCCATCGACGTTGTTGATCATTTTCTTGTTCATTGGAATCGGATGATGGTGAAAATAAATTTAAATTCAGTAAGTATTCTTTTAACGAAGACATTTGTCACAGTACAATAAATATCACTTGTCAATGTTCATTTTGATTGTTCTGAATATAAAATTAAAACTTTCATGAAAAAAATGCTTCTGTTGTCAATTAATGTCTCATTGCTCTGCTCTCTCATCACTTTGTCATATTAATACATCGGACTTGTTGAGATTCATCTAGCACTTCTCACTAAACTTAGTATTGAACTTGGACGAGTGACATCTACACTCCTATCAAGGGAAAAAGAGCGAAATCCGATCATTTTGGATTCCAATGTATTTCCGTGGACTCCAAAGGATTACCAATGGACTCACAATGGATTCAAACGGATTCGTATAGATTCTCATAAAATATTATGAATATCTTTGGATTCCTCTTGGTTTTATAGCTTTTTAGATCTGAAAGCCCGCATTGAAAGGAGAAGGGCGGGTAATACTATTGTGCTGCTCACGTCAGAAATGATTTATTTATATATGACTTCCAGTAGGGATTGCTCCTGATTACTATTTTCAATTGTATTTCGCGAAAAAGGACTTCGACTATTCTGGCACTTATGATTCTTCCTCAGTTATCATCAGGACAAAATGCAAGGGAAAGAGCTGATTCAAATCATTTAAAAGTCGAAATTAAATCATTTAAATCACACAAAGCACAGATCGCTTCTTACTCCTTGAAAAATGTGTGTTTTTATGAAGGAAAACCATGCATATTTGAAGAGTTAGGACTGTTTATTACGAACATCATAATCTGACCTTTCAAGACATTTTTATTTTTCATTTAGTTTTGAAGACCTTAGAAACTCTGTTTTTAATTATGGTGGCTGTCACCAGTCAGATATGTGATCAGGTCCACCGAAAATTATTTTGTCTAGCCCATAATTTTAAGCTTCCTACGATTCTAAAGTTTTTATTTAGAGAAAATAGTCTCAGAGAAAAAGCACTGGATTCGGAATTGGAATTAGCCCTTTGTTGAGGGCATAAATCTTCATCCTCATAACTTTTTATAAAGGGAGCCTTGCTGCAACGAGCAGTTTTGACTATAAGCATGGATTTTTAAGCTCCGTTCACAGACTAACATTGCGGAAACGGCAGATTGCAAGACTCCACGCACTCCGCGGAATTCTTGAGTGTGGGTGTGGGTGTGGGTGTGGGTGGGTGTGGGTGGGTGGATGGGTGTGGATGTGAGTGTGGGTGTTGATGTGAATGTGATATAAATAGGATACGTTTATCCACACCATAGTTGATATCGAAATATGAATATATGATAACGTGATTATTAAGTCACAATTTCGAACAACTATGATATTGCGATGCAGTTACGCGCAACTGCGCCGCGATTTTTTCGCAATTACGGGGCACAGTTCGATCGCAGTTACGCCGTAACTGCGTCGCATTTTGATCGTAATAGAAAACATGGTAACTATTCTAGTTAGATTGGATGGATGTATGTATGAGTGAGTTGTTATGATATTCTTAATTTAGATTCATCTATATTCTTGATATAATACTGGGGTCAAATTTAACTTAATGACAGTTAAATAGTTATGAATTCCGTACTGAGTACAGGTGGGTGCGCGCACTAGAATTGAGCAGCTCCACCGACGGAGTTGATTTCTCACAATGTGGATAGCATCAGAATGACGTGAATACAATACTAGAGTAAAGTTGCAGAGGCAGATTTGGAGAAGTATATAACCACAGTTGTTAATAGCTTGTATACGCGGCAAGACATGTTGCGGTGATAGATACAAAACTTTCAAACGCATTTCTCTCTAGACTTTTTATTGTTTCCCAATACGTAAAGCTATGAATATGTCACAGTAACATATCAATATTTTAGGTTTAAAGGCAATGTAATATCTAGAGGATCATCTCACGAAGTTGTGAGAGTTTTTGATATCAAACACTTACCTGAGCCGGCTTGGAATCAAAATGAAGAAAAACAAAGGTGGAGATGTAGAAATACGAGAAAAATGTTTGCATATTTAATGATTATTCATCATAAACTTAATAAATGAAGAATTTATTACAAAGTTTAAGAGAAGACAAAGAGACGTGCTTTTCATTATTTCAGCATCTATCATTGACTTAATAAATCAAAATATTTCTAGTAATGTCAGGAAAAATAAAATCATGCTTTTCTCCCAGATTCATTAATGATAAAAGATTAGAATAAGTAAAGAATATCCACGTAGGCGTTTAGTATATAGAAAAAAAAGTACAAGAATAATTTAAATATAATTATAAATCATATTTTGAACTTTTATGCCGTCTAACAAGGACCAGATAACTATGTGTACAAAATATCCTCAAATTAAAACGATATGTTATCACTTACTGGAACAAAAATACATATATTGATATGAAAAACTTCACTGACCCCAATTCTCCAAATTATTGGAATTAGTATTCATCACCTCATTATTTCTATGGTTTTTGAGCGAATTCATGTTTATATGTATTCTTTTCCATCAAGCTCTAAGATCCTATTTCATTCGTATTTGAGTATCGTATTTTGTGCGAGATATTTTTAATTCATCTTTCAATATGCTTTTAGAAAACTCTTGATTTTGATTGAATTAACATTTTTCTTTTTCTCACAAAAATGTTTGAAATTGGTTGGTATTATTGGAATAAGAAATTTTTTTATGTATTTCTCATTTATTTTCGTATTTTAAAAGTTAGCCATTTATTTTATTTTATTTCTAAATTCTTTGGTTTTATAATATGATTTGCTAATCATAATTGTTCATAATGAATTAAAGAATCGATCATTAATCTTTACTAGATTTTATTCATTAAATAAATATAAGAACTGTTCATTTTAACTGATAACTTTATTAAAATAAGAGAAAATTTCTTAAAAATAAGTGTATTAATTATTTTTTACTCTCGACCATAAAAAACTGTATCTTGTTGTGGGTGTGATTGTTGATATGATTTTCATGTATACCAGATATTCAGACCCATACCGACACCCACCCTTAAAGAGCTTTTAGTCAGGCCAATTTTCTTCTATATTTATATGAAGTGACTCGAAAATGGAAGGTAATCTTAAAGAAATAAAAAAAACAAAACATGATTGATGATTAATTTAATGAGCGTGTTATTGTAATGCCTCTTCAAAATAAGTTTTCTTTCATCGATCATTTGTATATTATTCATCTACATATATAAAAGCACGTCATCAATTGCGCATGAAAATTTATTGGCACAACATAAGTACGTCACTGGTATATGCGCATATGAATTGTATTCATCATCATCATCAAAACATCAGCAGCTTTTTTGCTCATCTCTTATCTTTTTCAGGCGCCTGTCTCTATATATGATTTTGTATTGTATTCAATTTCTTGTTATTTTGTTTTTGTATACTTCATTCAGAACCCATCCGACCATTTTTAGAAAATTTATCTTTTTCTCCTTTTATATAATATAACAAAGCTTGTTTCTTTAACAGAAAATCTCCATCTTTATTAAATCTATGTTATTAAAACATAAACGACATTGATCAATGTCTTTTTGTTGATTTTTCCGTTAAATAAAATTCATGGATTTATCATTGATGATGAGTGATGTTTGCTGTAGACAGCTCATCTTTGTGAAAAAGCATCTCTACTGGATAAATAATTTTGTGAATAAGATAGCAGTTTCATTTATACTCGTGCTTGATTTTATAGATCTTAGATAATTAAAGAGTAAGAAAATGAAGTTTCATCTGAAGATAAAATTTTTTTATACAGAGGAAAAAAGGAGATTCTATGGATTTCAATAGATCCCAAAGAGTATCAAGGATCCATCTGAAGAATACGGAAGTGAGTGAACGTAAGGACGAAGGAGTAGTCATCATATACGAAAATGTTGAATATTATGAAGTCAGCTGCGGCTCGGAATCACTTCTATCTAAATCCGGAAGCACGATCGTCATACAGCATAAGAGGTCGAGTGAATGACTTTTCGTAGCACCTTTTACGAAGGGTGGATGTAGATGTGGGTTTGAGTGTGCGTGGGTGTATCTTATTTATTGAACTCACACCCACACCAACCCACACCCTACCTACCCACACTCACATCCACACCCTCAAGATGCCACACAATAAAGAAAAAATAATTTGATATAAAATATAAGGGATTGCTGTCGAATGTTTCCTCCTTGCTGCAAAAGTATAGCTGATACACTATAAATAGGAACAACTACGCCATTTGTTTTTTACCGACTAGCTCGTATATAAAAGCTAAAGCATTTTCGAGAACAACTCATTCGTTTCTGTCAATCAAACATGTCTTCAAAATGGGGTGGACGCTACGTATAGGATCGACTTCAAGTTTATCTGATTCATTTAGTGGACCATCAACAAGTATCACAGCATCTTGTCCTATACATTCAGGTAATATCTGGAGCGTTAATGCAACAACAACAACTACGGCTAGTTCGGATGGGATTACACCATCGGCTGACTTAACCCTTTAACGAGCGACTTCTGGATGAGCAAGTCTTGTCAATTTTTTTCGCATAGAATGACAGCTTTGATGCAGATTATTAGTGTGCGGGTGAGTGTGGCGTGGATGTGAGTGTGGGTTTTGCAACGTCAACTACACTCACACTCACCCACACCCACCTACATCCAAAGCCACCCCACACCCTCGTTCTTTAACGGAGTACATCGGATTCCCGAGTAATCTGGTGTAGAGTCCTGCACGGGTGCACTTTTTTGTACCCGACACCGAAACGGCAATTTTTTTACGCCCAAGCCCGACCCGACCCGGCTAGTAATGTACCCGGATCCGAACCGGACCGAATAAGCCAGACTCGGACCGAACCAATCTACTCGGTTATTTTTCAAAACATGATCATATTTTTAAACTCTTATTTAATACAATAAATATAATACGTTTAGTTTCGTTCATCAGTAACAAAGAAAAATCTATATTACATAAAATTACGTAAAAAAACAAGTGAATCAAGTGAATCAGGAGTTTGCTGAAGATTTGGATCTTGCTCTTATCTCACATCCACACACACAAGCCTACACCCACATCCACCTTCGTATTGTAAGATGTTAATTAACAAAACAATGCAAGCTTTTTATCCGAAACATAAAAAAGCTATGTAAAAAAAATTAAACTTTTCTTTATGAAATATTACGATGAGTAATGGGTCGTTTAATCATTATCAGATTTATTTTAACTCCTTTTTTCATATTAGTAATAGTATCAGAATAAGATGTTAGAAATTTGGTGATGTCACTAGTTATCGGTTCGGGTCCGGGTATACACTCCTACCCGGGATCCGAACCGACCCGGCGAATTTTACCCGGTACTCAGGTCCGAGTGTCGGGTACCCGTCCGGTTTGCAGGACACTAATGTGGTGTCGGATCCGATGTGTTCCCGTAGAACCCACATGTCCGATCGAATGTCCTGGGTAGCGATAAGTCAATGAAAAGAGAATCTATACCAGATGAAACCAAATTCTGAAACTGATGAGAAATTGTCAATAAATTTTTTCTTTTTTCCAAAGCTGTTCGATAAATTCCAAAACTTATCAAGCAATGGAATAAATTTCGAGAAAAAATAAATCCAAAAGTTCATTGATAAAATGCAATATTTGCCATAGGTGAAATAAAGCCTGGTATTTATTGAAAAAGCCCGAATAAATCTGGAAAAAAGAAGTGCTACAAGCTGCTGATGAAGTAAAGCAAAGGGAACAACGCATTTAGAGAGAAATGTACATAAGAGAACGATCGATACACATATCAATGATGAAGAAAAGAAAAAAATAGAATAAGAGAAAAAAGTAGATAAAAGTGACAAATAATGACACACAACTGAAAGAAGAGAGAAAAATGACTAAATTCTGTGCTGTTGACATAACAGTGTTTTTAAAGAAGCGAAGATTAAATATTTTAATACACTGCAAATCTTAGACTGACGAAGAACATTACACTGCAATTATCGTCATCCATATACTTCTACACAACTAAATGAGGGATTACCAGCAGCGGTTCCACCAGCAACTAAGACATTTCCGTTTGTCAATATGGATGCTGTGTGAAGAAATCGTGCAGTTATCGTCCCTTCAGTAGTTGTCCAGAGTCCTGTGAACGGATTGTACACTTCTGCACTAGTCAATCCGGGTCTATCACGATCCCTTCCACCAACAACTAAGATATTTCCATTTGTCAATGTGACTTGTGTGTGAAGATATCGTGCAGTGTTCATGTTACCAGTAGATGTCCAGAGTCCTGTGGATGAGTCGTACACTTCTGCACTACTCAGTGCCGTGCTACCATCAGCGGTTCCACCAGTAACTAACACATTTCCGTTTGGCAATATGGATGCTGTGTGATGATATCGTGCAGTGCTCATGTATCCAGTAGTTCTCCATAGTCCTGTGGATGGATTGTATACTTCTGCACTATTCAATGCAGTTCCAAAATCAGTGGTTCCACCAACAACTAACACTCTTCCGTCTGCCAATATGGATACTGTGTGGTATACTCGTGCCATGATCATGCTGTCAGTAGTTGTCCATAGTCCTGTGGATGAGTCGTACACTTCTGCACTACTCGATGCAGTTTTAAAATCAATGGTTCCACCAGCAACTAAGACATTTCCGTTTGGCAATATGGATGCTGTGTGAAAAACTCGTGTAGCGGTCATGGTGCCAGTAGTTGTCCAGCATCTTGTGGATGGATCGTACACTTCTGCACTACTCAATGCGGTACTACCATCAGCGGCTCCACCAGCAACTAAGATATTTCCGTTTGGCAATGTGACTTCTGTGTGAACATATCGTGCAGTGCTCATGTTGCCAGTAATTATCCATTGTCCTGTGGATGGATTGTACACTTCTGCACTACTCAATGCCGTGCTACCATCAGTGCCTCCACCAGCAACTAAGATATTTCCGTTTAGCAATATGGATGCTGTGTGGTATACTCGTGCACTGACCATGCTGCCAGTAGGTACCCAGACTAAAAAGAAACATTCGAATTTAGTAATTATTTGCTTTACATGTGAAATCCTTATATGAACCTTTTGCGAAACGATTTTTGTCATAGACTACAATTTATCATGAGATTCTAATCTAAAAAGTTTCACTAGCATTCCTATCAAGATTTTATCAAGAAAAAGTTAATATATTTTTGATCAATTCTGTTTTTCATGTGTCAAAATAGTCCGATTTTGATTAAAACATTTCTTACTAAACTAACAACTTTCTCAAAAACTGTTTCAAAACCTACTTCAGTAACTCTTTCAACACTTTTCTCGATAATTATTTCGATAACCTTCGACAAACATTCTAGAGAACTCTCTGCAAAACCATTTCGTCAGCACTTTCGACAACTCTCTCGATTAGTTTCTCGAGAATCGCATCAGATCTGGCTGAATGTGGTTGCTGGAACAACTAACCTGAGATGAAGAAACATAGTGAAAAATGGTCTTCTTCTGATCTACAAGTATTGTTTTTCTTCCAGATCGTACTTGTTCACTCTAGGAAAAGATAAGCTGTGGAAGAGACCTCGAATTTTTGCACTCCACAATATTTTTGCTCAAAGTTGTTATTGATTCAGTCTGGTATCCGGTGAAAAACAAGATGGTTGGGCAGAATGAGGAACCCGATTTTCTACGAAGCAGGAGAGCTTGGAGCAAAGAGATTCTTTTAGTGATATCCAGAATTCATACTTCTAAGTCTATAACTATATTCATCTGTGAAGGATCTAAAAGAAAATTTCTTTTTCTAAGCTCTACGTAGGGATTCCTAGGAACAAAAAAAGTTTCAAAGAGAACTATCAAGAAACTCACTCGGCAAACTGTGATGAGGAATCGTCTCTGATTTGAATCTTATGCGAAAAGTCAAATGGTAAGAGGTTCTTTCTGTGCTATTTTCCTGTGCGTCGGCAATTCCAAGCTCCTTTAGCTGCGGCATGAGGACGAGCTTTGAAGTATTTTTGCTACACTCTAACTACTCATATGGAAGTGCGTGCCCTGAAAGCTTCAACTTGAAAGAGCGCCTAATGGGGGTGGATGTGTGTATATCATATTTATCTCACACGCACCTACATTCACCTACCCACACCCACACCTTTCGCACTAGAAGGAAGTTTAACCGATACACTCAATCAGTCGTGAGTATATTTTTCTTGAGGGTGTGGGTGAGTGAGAGTGACAAGGATAGTACCCGCATTCACCACACCCACACTTACAATCGCACTCTCATCCACATTCATCCTCACACCCGAGCCCGAGTTTGGCCGAGCTCGAGAGACTCGGTAAGGGCTCGGCCCCGGCACATCCCTAGTCACAACGAGCATTTAATTTTCATCAAATTAAATAAAGCAGAAACTAATAAATAACATATTCTTATAAAAAAGACAGAATCATCAGAAACATCATCATTCGTTAATCTTTGATCTATGCTATTAATTCAATCACAGAAATGACTTCAGCTTTATTTTTTCAGTAAAACATAAATAGAATCGTTATATTTCTAAACAAAAGGAACAAAAAGAGATTTTTTTCTATAGTAGATAATGAGATAAATCCCTAGCATAGCAAAAGGATATATTAATCGATATTCTTTCTTATCACTACCCTCACATCGCCACGTGATATTATAGAAAAATAAAGATAATACTCGGAAAAATATATGTAGAAAACTTTTTCAGATGCTTTATTTGTATCTATGATATCTGACTTTTTTGTAAGTTACATTGAAGAAAGAGAATTTTTTAGAAAATAAATTTCTTTATTTTATAAAGATAAAGGGTTTTTATATTTATTCTTTCTTATAAAGAATAATAAAAATAATGAAATATCTGAAATTTTCATCAGATTAGACAAGTAAGAATCAACTAACAATATATGATTGATGTTTTTTCATTAAATAGCCTCTTTTAAGTTATTGCAAGTAATTAATCAACTTCTTTTTATCTCTCTTTGAACATAGACGTACCTGCTTCTTGTGTTGTTGTTGATCCTTTTGCTACTGTTGTTGTCGATTCTGATTCTGCTGTTGTTGTCAATAATTCATTTGTTGTTGTTGTTGTTGTTGTCAACAATTCACTTGTTGTTGATGATGTTTTTTCCTTCTTTGTTTTCTTCATTATAGCAATAATTGTTGGAATAACTATAATTACAACAATTAAAATAATGAAAACTATTATCCAAATTAATTTTCTTTTCCGAAAATGTTCATATCTAAAATAATAAATTGTTTTCATAGTTTATTGTAATTCATAATATTTACATACAATCTTCGTAATCGTGTTGTATTAGAGTTAACTTCAACAGACTAAAATATTCAAAAAGAAAATAAGATTATTTTATTCTTTTTATTTAATACATTACTTCAGCAGGTTCAACTCTGTTATTCATGTTTACAGTTGTTCTTCTGTTTAAACTTGAACAGCTTCACAATCTAAAAACAAGAAAATATAAGTTATTTCTTATTGAATACTGTTTTTTTTATTTATGAGATTTGATATGTCTTATTAATTAATTGATTTAAATCAGAACAAAATAGTGTTAAAATCAAGTTTTGATTTATTCTTATGTGAGATGATAAAAAAGAATGTGAAAATGAAATAGATTTCTCAAGTTCTTTTTAATTAAAGAAAAAAAGTCATATTTTGAGTAATCAGTTTTGAATGTTGTAATATTTGTAATAAAAACAAATCTTACATCAGTAGAACCATTAATCATATTTCTTTTTCTCAAAATTATTTGTGAATAAAATATTGTCAGGTGTGAGTTGTCATTTTTTATTAATATGATAAATCTGTAGAATAAAATATAGAAGTAAATGATCTTAAATAATATTTATCATGATTATTTGCAAAAGTAAAAAAAAGGAGAAAGTCAGGGAATGATGTAAGTTGCTGCATAATACACATTGAGAAAGATTAAAAAGAATAGAATATTCATTGTTAGAAATATTTGTTTGTAAACAGCTATTATAATTTTTTACACCATCGTTTGATTTTTCTTTGAGTTAGATGTGTGTAAATAGAGACAAAATATAAACTTATTTGCTTAACTGGTGTACATAAAGAAATTTATCCTTCATTAGTACTCACAGGGAGAGAAATATTCATATTGGAAACAATCATACTATAGACAGAATGAATGCGTACAGTAGAGTAGACTTCTCGAATAACAACACTAAAAAAAGTAACTTGTCTTGGTTGATTCATTTCAAAGCTATTTTACATACGATTGAAAATAATTCTATATATGCATTACCTTTACAGCCACATCTTTCAAATAGTAGGAGAGGCGCAAAACTTTGGCTTATAGCTTACATTCACTATTTTCTTTCGTGAAATATATGTTGATTTCACAAAAAAATCGTCGAATTTGAAGCAGATTATAAATCTAATCAACTCATCAACTGTTGGAGTACCAACAGGGGTCATGTTTGACCCCCTTCTAAACAATCTGAAAAATCAGTAGAAATAACTGCAGTTTCCTGGTTTTTCAAGGCTGTTGATGTGCCCTGCGAGTTGAATTACAACAGTATTTATCTGTTGGGACAAGCTACTCTTCTTCAAAAGGGAAGAAACTGCAGATGTTTCAACTGGTTTTTCAGGCCGTTGAGAAGGGGGTTAAAAGTTATAATCTAGATGCATTAATGTATATACTTATCAGTAAAGCGTTACAAACTAAAAATACTGATATATTGTATGATTTTGATGTTATATTCTACATCTAAGTGAGTACTTGACTAATTCGACTCATAATATAAATGAAATGAAAAAAACAAATTCATCAGCGCACGTCATACCTATAAAAATAATTTTATCCATTTATCATTCATATAAATGTGATAAATAAAGAATTTATGACAAAGTTTAAGAGAAGACAAAAAGACGTGTTTTTTATTATTTCGGATCTATCATTGACTTAATAAATCAAAATATTTCCAAGAACGTCAAGAAAAGTAAAATCATGCTTTTCTCCCAAATTCATCAATCATAAAAGATTAGAATTAGTAAAGAATATCCACGTAGGTGTTTAACATATACAAGAAAAAGTACAAGAATGATTTAGATATAATTATAAATCATATTTTAAATTTTTCTGTCGTTTAACAAGGACTACATAAGTATGAGCACAAAATGTCCTCAGATTAAAACGATATGTTATCACTTACTGGAACAAAAATACATGTATTGATATAAAAACATTCACTAACCCTAATTCTGACAATTATTGAAATTGATATTCATCATCTCAGTACTTCTATAGTTTTTGAACTGATTCATGTTTTTATATATTCTTTTGCATCAAGTTCCAAGATACTATTTCATTCATAACTGTGTATCTCATTTTTTGAGAGACGTTTTTAATACGTCTTACAATATGCTTTTGGAAAACTCTTGATTTTGATTGAATTAATATTTTTCTTTTTATCATAAAATCTTTGGAAATGATTGATATTATTTAAATAAGATGTGTTTTTATATATTTCTCATTTATTTTCGTATTTTAAAAGTTAGCCATTTATTTTATTTTATTGAAAGATTTTTTGATTTTATTATATGATTTGCTAATCATAATTGTTCATAATGAATTTAAAAGTCAATAATTAATCTTTACTTGATTTTTTTATTAAATAAATATAAGAATTCTCCATTGTAGCTAATGCTGTTATTAAAATAAGAAAAAAATTTCTTAAAAATAAGTGTATTAACTATTCATTGTTCTCGGTCATAAAAAAACTGTATCTCGATGTCGGTGTGGTTGTTGATATGATTTTCATGTATACAAGATACTCAGGCCTACACCTACACCCACCCTCAAAGAGTTTTTAGTCAGGCCGATTTTCTTCTATATTTATATGAAATGACTCGGAAATAGAAGCCAATCTTAAAGAAATAAAAAAAAACAAAACATGATTGATGAGAATGCATCCTATTCCGAGATGTTGAACATTGGAGGAATCAGTTCCGCACCGGAATCGATTCCGTCCAATTCCGGGAACTCGATCGACACACAACATAAGACACCCCGTGAAGATTGATCGAGTTCGACCGATTCCGGAATTGCACGGAGTTCCTACCGATTCCGGAATTGCGGGAATTGGTTCCGATTCCGGAATTCCGTACCAGAATCACACCATCCACCTCACCCACATTTGTTGTGTTGTGTTGATAAGTTATCCCGTTTGGATACGATCTAATTCCGTTACGGAATTCCGGGAATTGCATCAAGACGGAATTCAGTGGAATTGGACGGAATTCCTGGGAATTCCTAC